ACACACCCCCTTTTTTTCCGGGCCACCGTTCATTGTTTTCCCCTCTTCCTTTTCTTTACCCTTCCCCCCTCTCCCGCCCCAGGTCTTCATCGTGCTGCACGAGCTGCTACCCACCGCCCACCGCTACCTGCCGGACCGGTCGGGCAAGGTGACGGCGTATACATTCGCCGGCATGGCCTTCATGGCCCTCTCCATCGTCCTCCTCGAGCTGGGCGAGGGGCACGAGCACTAGCTCGAGTTCTCTCTCGCCCACTCTCTCTCTGGTGTCTCTACTCCGGAAAAAACCGTGCGCGGACGAGCGAACAAAGCACAGCTCGGTTCAGATGTCCCCCCGTAGTTAGGGTTTTTTTTCGGATTCCGCATTCGGCACTGTGTGAATTAATCGAGAAAAGAAATCGGTCCGGCCACCGGCGTACTTTAAACCGCGGTCTGCGCACCGCGCGCTGTGGCGAAGGTAGTCAGCATTAGAGGAGCGCGCTGCCATTGCAGAGCTCTCGCTAAACGAGAGGCACGGTGGTACAAGACAGGCGCGTCCATGATAAATAAGATGGAGGTGTTGAGTGAGTCCTCGTGTGAGTGGCTTCGAGAAACAGTGGCCTTTCACGAGTTGGGGCCCCCACCCCATGATTCGCATGAGTGGCGACCGGCACGCCGACTCTTTACACGCTACAAAGAGGCACGCCCCTTGCCCACCAGCACCACCTTGTGTGTGGAGAAGTTTACCTTACCTTACTGACCTTAGTTAGGCGACGGACTGCCACCGCATGAAGACGCCAGTCACTACCAGCATTCCCTGCCTGCCTCCTGCATCACCTTTGCCTCCTGCTTTTCCTGCCTGTCCTGGCTGCGTGTCGCCCTGCACCTTGGGCCTGGCCTGCACCTTCCCTTTTCCTGCTTTCTTCATCTCCTTGGTTTCCATCCGTGCCTGCTTCTTCGAATCATCTCCCTACTGAAGACGGACCGCCCCATCAGCCATCTTGCATCTACGAGCGCGTGAGATACGTTCGTTCGTTTTGTGCACAGTCGCGAGAGACCCCACACTCCACACACACACACCACACACACATACACACACACACACACACACACACACACACACACACACACACACACACACACACACACACACACACACACACACACACACACACACACACACAACGAAGCTCTCTTCCACGTTCCCGTTTGTTTCTCCTCGATCTATTTTTCATTTTCTTTTCTCTATTTTCCCCTTTTCTTCACGCTTTTCTTTGTTCCCTGTTTTTGGTACAAATATCCAGGATGAGAGCCGGCCGCGCGCAAGATAGCAATTGCACTGACTCTAACGGGGACGCACGATCGATTAGTTCTGGCAAGTTTTGCCGCGTTGAAGCCCGGCTCGCCGGGCGAGGGTCGAACAGACTTTGATACCCATCTCTAGATGATCCTCCTCTTGCTGGGGGCCAGCTCGCGGTGCAGCTCTTCGCATCCGGCATGGCCCACCCTCGCGTTGCCGCGCTTCTCGTCGCACTGCCCTACGTGGCTGCCAGCCCGCCGCTATCGCCGCCGGCAACGCCCCAGAAGCAATGCTTCCAATGGTGCCACAACAAGGCGAGCGAAGGCATTCCCTGGGAGAGGCTCTGTCGCTGGGTGTCCTGTGGGGCATGCATAGAGTGCTCTGTTCGTCCCTGCGGCGTGGAAAGCTGCACCGATGATGTCCTCGAGACGCTCGCTCAAGATCTGACCGACGGCTATACGGACTTCTCGTCGTGCGCATCTCGCATCAACTGGGTCGAGCGCAACCGCTTCAAGAGTGAGAAGGAGGCGTGTAAAAAGGTCGCGGAGGAATTTCCAGACGAGTGTGGCGCCTGCCACCCCTTCCAGTCGCCGC